CGTAGAGAAAAACAAAAACGAAACCGGTGAGCGTTAATTGGTGAAAGGTTCTCGGTACACCATTTGACCACGTAATTTGTGGCTAAAATCGAGACTACAGTTCGAAGATAACACACAGTCGATTCCTAGTTTCCTCACCGATTGTCTGCGGAAGCTTTGGCGCATTGCAACAGATTCACTCGACATTGAATGCTCGATATTTTTATGCGACCTACCTATAAAGCAGACGGCTCGTCCAATTCCTCCTGAGCAATGGACGACAACTGGATTGTTATTGGTGAGACGTCGGGTGAGCTTGAGTAATTTGACAGTGGCAGTCGGATCAAGAGGTGCGGTATGGTCTGGCCATTCACTGTACGACAAGTGATGGACTTCACAACATTCCCTGAAAGCAAAGAAAAAACAGCTGGTTTCAAATCAAACGAGATCAAAGGGTGCGCACTGTACTTTTTCAAATAATGACCAAAGCATCCAGCCTTGAACAATCCCGTTTTGGGATACGCCACACATTCTACTTCCATTCAGAATCGGCGATTTGAATGCGATGTGGCCTATACAATGACTTGCGGGGGCCAGCCGATGTACAAGTCAGTGTTTTTATCCTCCCAGACAAGTCTGGTACCAATTAACCGACCCCGGAGGGATGGAAGGCTTGGTTGGCCCGGGCGACTCACGACCCAGGATTGATCCCCGGACCGCTCGCGTGGTTAGCAACGCCACTTGCCGCTACACCACTTCCGCCGTGTAATTTCTTGCTTCCTCGAAATTACTCGTTTCAAATGCTCCCAGATTGGTCCCTTGACCTGGGACCTTCCTTCCCTGCGTAGGCTTTACGTCCCCGCTGTGGTCCCTTCCACCTGTGACACCAACAGGGGGGGGAGGTTACGCGTATGCAACAAAAAGGAGTTTCATATAGTAGAGGGCATCGCCATAATCATGACATGACGAAAGAATGACACATCAATACCTAATTAGGGTGCATTTACTGCGCGCAAGTTCAGACAACTCGTTCTTCACTGCTAAGGGGCAGAGGGGGAGTCCCTGCTCAAAGCCTTCGGCGTTTTTGGTGTTCATTATCAGTCAACTACACCTGCAACTTCATTATCGACCGTTTTTACCCCGCGTAATCGATCTGGAATTATTGATTTGAAGTCAACGGCTCAAAATAGAACAGCTACGATGACAGATTTACGTGGAGAAATCACTAGAGCTTTACGAGTAGGCTTAAAGCCACGAGTCAGGCTTAGGGAACATTAGGAGAAACTGTGTTCACTGTAGGAGTGTGGGGGGGAGATTAACTCTTTGAGGTCACTTTGACATTTCCCATTATCACACTCGTCTTTCGGCTTGGGGTATATAATTCCATGAATTTCCGGCTAATTTTTCGCCTTTATTTCCGAGGATTCGCGTGTTTTTGCGCGCATACAATAATGATTCTTTCAAGTGTTCTTAATGGTTTTGCGAGTTGCCTACTAACTGTGCCTACTATTTTGTTCATAGAATTTCTTCTCAGTGGAGCTTTGTTCCTGGATTTAATGATGTGTACGTTAACAAACACGCTTTATTTTGGTTCGAAGTCAAGACTTAAGGGAAGAGTGCTTCTATGGGTTGCGTAATTACTCGAAGGCGGGCCCCAGATATACATAGGTGGTGTGTAAGAGCGCTCAATAGGGGAGGTAAAGGTGTGGAGTGGACAGAAAGTGAGGAAGAAAGCTCAAGAAGTCATCGAAAACACTAAAATTACGCGCTCGAACTTTCTATAAGACCCGGCCGTGGTGCGAATGAGATACATAGCGCGCAGAGAAGAGAGAATACGCGGAGGAGTCCGTAGGATGAGAGGGTGCACAAACACAACTGTTGCACGGCAGGCGATAGGGTAAGACCTTAGAGTCCTTGTCGCGTACTTTCCGTTCATGTAGACGGCGAATCGGTATACTTCACAAAGAGCTCCATTCTACCCACAAAGGGTTACTCCAGTGGTCTTATCCCGCGGCTTCCCTTCAAAGTAACCACCCCAGATTGGTCTATATTTTTGCTGCTAATGAAGTGAAAAGATGTGTGAGCCCGAGAACACATAAAGTGCAGCTGAATCAAAAACTGAATTAGGAATGTAGCCGTGAGTGGTTGGATTCGTGCTCATTTTGGTCTGCCCGCCTCCTGATCGCGATGCCAATGCGTAACGGCTAATTTAATCACGCGTGGGTTAGGGTTCACGGGTTACTCGAACTTTCTTCTATGGTCCTGCCACGAATGGCGGAGAGCACAGACGATTAGAGAACGGCGCCTGGCTCGGCTCCAAATCCCAAGGAGGAAGGTGAGAGCCTAGGACTAAGCCTTGTAAGGGGGAGGGACTCCGAGGTGGGTGAGCCAATTACAGTGTGGCAAAAGTTTGAATGTGTGAGATTATGGTAGTCATAAGCCGCTATTTAGTGTGAAAGCGCAGGCAGGAGTACCAAACCGTAGAGGCGGTAGAAGGGCCGACTTCAAGTTAGTCCTTCGACCGCGGGTTAGTGGAGCCGTGGAGCAGGAGAGAAAACTCTCCCGGTCTTGCCCCTTCCTCATATTCAAGGGGGAGGGGCGGTTTGCTTTGCTTTTTTCTCATTTCCAGTCAGTTCGGCATCCAAGTTTCCATTATCGCCTGCTTTTACTCCAAGGTGGACCATTAGGAAGGCCTTCCCAACTCACCTTCCCGTAAGCAGCATAACATTACAACTACATTACATTTTTCTGTATAAACCATGTGCCAAAAGTCTTCGAGAGTCTCCTGCAATGGTCCCTGAAAAATTTCAGACTTACTCACGAATGAGGTGTTCGCCTTCAGGCGGGTGAGTATGGATCTTCCTAAGAAACAGCCCTTCCAGCTCCTTCCAATGAAGTAAAACCGCCACTTCTTTGGAGCTAGGTAGGAAGCAGGGTCAACCGTCACGTTGGACCAATTTCGAAAATTTTACGACCCCCTCCCCCTTCTAGAGGGCCTCGATACGACCCCCCCCCCTCAGGGTTAACCCTTCACGACCATCCTCCACCACCCTCTTGCCATCGCCATCATGAGGGCGATGATATAGTATAGTATTCTGATTCTGAGACAGCCAACTCCTCGCCTACTTCTTCCTTCCAAAATTCCGTCGAGGGGGGGGACGTTTAGGGGGGGGGGTTTCTCACTCGAAAATTCTCATCAGCCAATCAACCATAATACGCTCTCGCCTTCTAATTGAAAAATCCCTCGCATTCCCTACGCTAACATTGACGCTACCCGCAACCCCGTACCCCCCCCCGTTGAGTCGGCACGAACAGCTGACCCTGATAGGCAGACGGAAGTCATTGGTACAGACTTCCATCTTAGTCGATAACTTTCCAAGGCTAGACCCTTCTGGCCTCTTTTCACATTTTGTCACGACCCTTAAGAACTGGTGCGTGGCGAACCTGAGTACAAATGTATCTTTGTCCATCCGGCGTATCCATCCAGCTGGCATGAATATAATCATCATCCGGTCCTCTTTCCTTCAGTATTGACACGGGTATTGTCCACGCATATCACGTCTTCGTACTCGTATAACTTCGTATAATGTATGCTATACGAAGTTATTATTTTCTCCCTTTAGAACGTAGGGTTTGAGTTACACTGCATAGTTCGCCGCTGATGAACCAGTTCCCTAGTTAAGGTGAATTGTGTCTGCCGCGTGCTAAAGCGGTGGGCACAAAAAATTACGTGTAAGCTTGGGCATAAAACTTACGGTAACTAACATAAAGTGTTCATTGGAAAAGGCAATGCGGGAAGACCACACGTGGCACCAACCAATTGTAGATCATAGGGATAGTTACCAAACAGAATGCAACATCATTTCTTGGACTGGAATAAAATTCAAATAAACGCTGTCACCTCCGTCACTTCTGGGAACTCTTCCCCGCCTGTGACAATATGATTATGTTGTTTATTCTATGTCTCCGATCGTTACAGTCTCTCGCCGTACACGCGCTTTTGTTAGCCGTAGAACGTGCATCTTTTCCGCAGCTTGAAGCAACGACCCAAATAGATTCACGCTATTGTTACTAATGGTGAAGAGATGCGTGAGTCCAAATCAAGAGCATATGAAGTGTCGCTGAAGAAAAACTGGCCTTGGTAACACGCTACCTAAGAAATTGACTGGCGCTATCCAGGCGCGACCGCCTTTTTGTCAGCACTCGCAGCTGCTATCCGTGAAGATCGAGTGATCAGCTGCGTGCAGCCTAACGGCTTATTCAAAGACGCCCAAGTTAGCGGAGCCGTAGAGCAAGAAAGTCCGGAAACTCGTCCGGCACCGCCCCTTTCTAATTCTAAGAATTTTAAGAAGAAAAAGAAGGAATACTCGTTAATGGTTTCACCGGATCGGCCTGATTTGCTCTCGCTCTTTTGCCATTTTTGGTGGACTCGGCATCTTCAACTCTATTATCGACAGCTGTTACGCTATTACCCCACCAATTTGATCCAAAGTTGTTGCTCCTAAGAACACGAATGAGGAGGGCGGAGCGGTTCTGACGACGTCACTGGTGGACCACAACCAGCTAGGATATTCTTAAACGCACAACCCAGGCAGCAGGTCATGTTGAACGCCTTTATTCGGTCTGTAGTATAGACTCCTAGAGGGCAATCACAAATGTGGCGTTCCCATGCACGAGAAACCAACCGACAAGAGCGCTTGGGCCTTGCAAAGTAAGCTGCCTGAAGCTGCAGATTTTTTTTTCTTATCAGGCTGTTGTCTGGCGATCTCTCATCTGTAGCGCTCTCTCGCCTCCATACTCTCTTCCGCGCTTAGTCTCTCATTCCCTTAGCACAGCCGATTAGGAAGGTGAGTGAGCCCTTAACCTAAGCGTTTTTGACGGATTCTTTTCCTTTTTTCTTTACTGCCGGCCCACTTCCCACCAATACATTCGCATTCGTGTACAAGAGCCACACCAATGTGATCCTGGGGCATGCCTTTAAGGGTTTCAAAAGTCAAAACGCTTCCAACACCTCCCAACGCCCTTGCGCACTTCGGACGAGCCAAATGATGTGATCCCATCCAATGAGGCCTTTTGAATCAATTATGAAGGTATGGAAATTTCATTCGCTTTCCGATGCTTTTCAGTGGCGGATCTCATACCATCTACTTTTTATATCTGCAATCCACTACACACATCTTGCTCAGTTTGTGCAATCAAAAGAAAAATGGCAAGGTTCACCTGTTTTTGGGAACATTTCGCTTGAAATAATCAAATGTATACTCAGACGGTCTGTAGTTTTTATTCTGTATGAACTCTTTCCTGATTGTCGCCATGGTCTGAAAATCTTTTGGTAAACTTACTATTAACAACAGTGATCATGAGACTGTCAGCTTGCTCTTTCAGTATAACTTAGCATAAATTTAGCAATACTCAGCATAGTTTAAGTTCCTATACTCATATCAAGATCAACCCTGCATACAATTTTCTGTGGATGTAGCTTTAGGTCATTAACAGTTCGTCTTGTTATAGGTTTGCTTTACCTTGGCATGGGCTCAGGTAGGCATGTATGTTGAAGAAGTTCCTGACGGCCTAGCTGTGCCGAACTAGGATGGTGAGCGCCAGGGTGTCTTGTCTCTCACTAGGCCTCATCGCTCGCGGCGCAGAAAACGAGTAAGCAGTCGAAGCAGGGTCAACCCTACGTTGTTACGAGTAACAACGGGGGGGGGTCGTACTCAGTTGAGCTTGGAGGGAGGGGGGTCGTACCCTCTCGGTGGCCGACAGTGGGATTCTTGGTAATATCGGATAATAGCCAGCACGTTACGTTTTCGTAAGATGACTGATACTAGCATCTATAAACCACGATTCCCTCTAAATGAGCTTTCAAATGAATCAGCGAATTAGAAGGGCGCCCGAGGCGTGGCGCGCACCAAGGCAAGGGATGTAGTGCAAGCGCATGCTCGAAGCTTTCTAGCACATCCTAATTAAACATGACAATTGGTCTTCCAAGAAGTTACGGGCAGTGAAACCTAAGAAAACTCGCGTTTTCGAGAAAATGGCTTGAAGAATACCCCTCAAAATAAAAAGTAACAACGGGCTAATTTTTGAACTGCTGATCTTTCAGAAACGCTTGGGTGCTCGTTAGAAAGCTTGAAACCTGTGGTTTATTACACCGTGTTCAGCTTCCCAAATGAATGACTTTGAAGGAAGTTATGATCGTTTGAAGGTCAAAAAGTCGCGGTTCCAAAAAAATAGTAACGCAAACCCCCAAAAAAGTAACAACGGGACTAATTTTTGAACTACTGATCTTTCAGGAACGCTTGGGTGCTCCTTAGAAAGCTTGAATCCTGTAGTTTATTATACGTGTTCAGCTTCCCAAATGAGTGACTTTGAAAGAAGTTATGATCATTTGAAGGTCAAAAAGTCGCTTTGCACAGAAAAAAGTAACAACGTACTAAATTTTTATAAATTAACTTTCGAAGAATTTTTACCCATGGTTGGAGAGAGAATAATTTGAATTTTCCAAATCAAATCACTTCGGCGCAGAAGCTCGAATATGAAGGAAGTTATAGCCTTAGAAAGAGGGGTGTAAAAATTGTGTTGCAATTGAAGAACGTGAAGGATTTCAGTATTTCAATTGGAGCGATAATTTTTTCTGACTTCTTATAAGTTTTTATCAGGTAATGTTGTCAATATTACGGTCACTGGTTCAGTTTATTTCATCTCCTAGTTTGGTAACCCTTTGGAGTACACGGATATCTTTGAATGCATCTCATTTTTTCGTGTTTGCAAGCAGCGATGAATTTCTGTCGTGGATTTTGCTAAAGTTTCATCTTTAATGACTTACGTAGAAATAAATATTGATGGTAAACACTGTCTCTACACAAGTGTTACATACAAAGGGGGGGGGGTCGTATCAAACCACCCCTGAAGGGGGGGGGTCGTAAAAAATTTCCGAAGAGTAACAACGATAGGGTTGACCCTGGGGGAGAGTGTAGCAATCTACGTCTTATATTGGACAGCGCGCGCTGCGACTTGCCGCACCTGCGTCTCTTCCTTCGCCGCGCGACGGGAGTCTTGGGGGACACCCTGCGCGGGCAATGACCTGGTTTTTGCGAGCCGCACCAGTCCTTCTGTTCTTCGTGTACTCAACAGAAGGGCCATTTAGCGGCGAGAGGGCAGAGACACAGATGGGTTGGCGGACGAGTCGCAGCGCGTATTGTGAAAGTGTTTACTACTACATAAATGCCTGCGATTCAGACTTGACGTCGCAGAATTGCGCTACAGTACTTCTGCAACTCGTCCGTTGGCCCGTCTGCGTCCCTGCCTTCTCGTAGCACTACAGACCTCCCGTCGGGTAGCCCATGTTTTCACATTTCGACTTATTCGAATAATCATGATAACTATCTATAAGAACGGAACTACTGAAACTGGTAATCGTAGCCCGTTGTCCGCGCATCCGCTGGTTTACCCCCAAAGAACATTTGTTTTTTCGTCGACTTATTCATTTTGGATCGGAACTTGTCCTTTATCGGCTTCTCCAGACGACTTATGCTCCTTGTCTAGACTCTTTGAATCGGCTGCTGTTCCTTCTGGTGATGTAATTTTCCTTCATTTGCTGTCCCCCCCCCCCCCCCCCCCCCCCCCCCCCCCTCTTATTTTCTCCGGTGAGGCCTTTTTGTATCGTTTACGTGAACTTTCATCTATAACGTCTTGTGTTATCGCATCAGAGGGCTCATCGTTCTTCTTCTGTAATTATCCTATTCAAATGTTTTTCATTCCACAAAGCAGTGCTGAACACTATAAGCTAAAATCAGTCCGGTACCATTGTTACCGCCCCCCGTTACCTAAAAATAGTGGCCGTGAAACCAGAGAATGGCGATTGCACACCATTGTCCTAAGGTGGCGATTGCATTTTTCATTGCGGGTTCACCGCAAAGTTCCTAACGCGCCCCTTATGGTAACGTTGCAAAAGAAATATGCAAATAAGGGTATGGTTATTCTATTTATTGGCCTTGATGGGAAGCCAAACTAATGTCTAAATTCGAGCGGAAATTGATGTTCGGAATGCTGAACGGCGAAGGACATCTTTACACTCTGCTGGCAGTAGATATCCACATGTGGGAAAGTACCGTAAAATGGGTAAGGTCTTCTACCGTACCGAGGATACCTCCAGCTTCGCCGCAAAACTTGTGGGCAGTAGGGCTCTGATTCCTTACGTGGCCTTGCAACATCCCGATCCTCGCTGCAACCTTTCCACCTAACCTGCGACATCCGCATGCTATCTGAAGCGACGTCATCGCTCGCGTGCCTTTGTCTTCGGTTGACACGCCCTGCCCGGCCCATCGTTCCCACATCCGATCCTTTTTGAGGGCTAAGGCATTTGGCGACCCAGGGAAGAGATTCCTCTCACTTTCTGCTTCACTTTCACCCTCCCGGCTAGTAAATACTAGGAAGCGCTTTTAACACGCAAAGTTACCCGTCTTGCCTTATTTCGAAAGATATAGTGACCTAG